ATTGTCTACCAGATGACTTGGCAAGGGCATAGCAATAGTCTTGTCCACTGAAGTAATTGCCTTTTTAAGATCAGTACCTGCAAAAACAGAGCAAAAGCAAATGGTTAGCAATCAAAAATACAAAGCTGAACAATACAAAAGCTTATTAGCATCTACTCGGCCACCTGGTTCACCCTTCTACCTAGGAATGGGGTCCGAACGGTCCTCTCCCGTGCCGAATTCCCAATTACCACGGACGAGGACCATGGCATCGTCTACCCTTTTTCCTAAACTGGCCAGTATGGTCACCAGTTGATGGTCAATATCTTTGGCCTTCAAGAAAAATCATCATTGTCTACCAGATGACTTGGCAAGTGCGATCTGAAAGAGTAAGGCTTTCAGATGGCTTGCTATGGATGAAAAGAAGGTAGCGGTGTGGCAGATATATGAACTACAGAAGGGGAGGTTAAGGATGGTGAATTAACGAAAGCAAAGGAAGAGATGAAAGAAGACTTATAGAGGAGAATGAAGGTTGATCGAACGTTGAGGATTGTTACAATTGAAAAGGTAAGAATGTAGAATTATGGAAACGGCATCTTTTCAGAAGTGAAGGGGGCGATAGAAGTGACTTTTTGAAATCGCATTTAATGAGCGAGGAGAGTTCGAAGAGTTGGAAAGCCTTACATATTCTCCATCAGGTCACATCCATCATGTCGGATGTATAATAGTGTGTCCATCGCGCACCTAAATATCAAGGCATACTGGGTGTAACCCAAGTTTGTTGCAATTAAGCTGAATGAAGCCCGCCCCATAAAAGCCGACCACGCAGGCCACTCAGAGTAGTTAACCAGGTGCTTGGGGGCCAATTGTGGGAGCCGAGTAAATTTAACTCCTAAACAGCAAACAGGGCACACCTAAGCCCATCTTTGATGGGCCGAATTTAGCTAAAAGTCCATTGGATTCAAAGACATTACCGAGTACATACAGATGGGCTGAAGAGCGTACCGAATAAGGGTTACCTAGGTTATGCATCTGAGTCGAGCATATTAGGTAAGTTAGCATGTTCCCCCTTAGGTGGTCCAGGCTGTCCCTTTCGAAGAAGTATGATAGGAAGATGGGCCCTGACAAAGTGATGATGAGGGATTAAGCTATAAGAGAAAATATCAAGTGAAAGGATGCTATAAAAGGGGACCAAGACTAAAGGAGGGGGTATGCTCTAAACAAAACTTGCACTCTAAGAAACAAAAAACTTCTTTCTAAAAGAAACTAACTTGCTTATCAGAGTGCTAATTCTGGCACCACTAACTGGAGTTTTTCTTCTATTTCAGGTGACACCTCAAGAATCATATAAGGACTTGTTTGGATTAAAAGAGTATTCTAAAACCATTCCCCACATTCTTAAATCCTCTTGAATTAAGTTCTTGTGTAAGAACATCCATAGCTGATTCCCTAACCCTACCTCTTGAATTAAGTTATTGAAATACTTTTTAAAATATTCTTAAATCCTCTTGAAAAGTTACAATGCTTATTATGAAATATATTATATTTCATAATGCTTATTAACAGCATCAACTTTTTAGTGAAATTTTAGGGAAAAAATAAAATCTGTTGTTAGAGATGCTCTAAGATGGTTTTTACAAAGGGGTCTTGGAAAGAAAAAAGTGAATTTAGTTTGAAATTTTTTACTATATTAATTCGAACAAACTAAGGTTAGATTTGTTGACGATGTCAATGCTTAATTTTTGTTTGCAAAAACGCAAAGTGTTTTTTTTTTTTTTTTTTTTTTTTTAAAAAAACAAATTGGCGGGTTATAAGAGAGGGGTGTCCTTTAATTCAAAAAAAAAGAAAGAAAGGGGTGTCTAAGGGGACAAGAGTGACACTGTGTGGTTCGAAAAACTCTTTTTAGATTTTATTTTGATGATCTAAACCGTTCAATTTTTAGGTAATAGCAAGTATAACACACTTATAGAAAAATAAAGTTTATCGGATATCGATAACTTCTTCATCATATCACATATTTATTCGATTTGATACTTAAATATTTAGTCTTTTATATATACAAATGTGATTTGATCAAGAGGTTAACGATATTTGAACAACTTGATGTTTTGCATGTATATTCTACTCGATATTTCTTACAAAATGAACGGTTCGGATCATTAAAACAAGACTTAAAATGAGTTTTTGAGTTGCACAACAATCACCGCTATGCACTGCGCACAATAGTAACCCTAAGTCAGTCCTAAAGGCTCAATTTGGTTAAGTGAAAGAAATGGGAAAAGATAATTTCTTTTCTAAATTTGTTTAGTATGAAAGTGGTGGAAGTTACAAAACAAAATTAATAGTTGTGTTTGGAGCAGCTCTGGAATCATGATTCCAGTGCATTTTTCAATACTTTGTTTTCATAATGCAACTTCCTCAGGGTTGATAATTGAACTGTTGCCTTGCAAATCTTAGAATTGATTCAAAAGAATATACAAGCACAAATAATCATATGCATGTTTAAATGGGTTCAAAACAATGAGGGGTCTTTTCTTTTTCTTTTTTTTCTAGTTATTTAAGATGGATGGGTGAGCCTCACTGTGTTTGCATTTAAAAGAACGTTAAAAATCATAACTGGATTAAGGGTCACTGGTATAACTCCACCTGAAAATTATGCCATAGATATCAAACACACCTCAAGAATCAAGAACCAAACAAAGAATTGAAGAATCTCCTGAACAAATTAATTATGTTTCTGAATTCGGGAGGACAAGTCTACTAGTCTCCCGGAATGCTCAAGATGAGCTTTGAAAAACTAGGGTTTTGGATGTAGCTACACCAGAAATTGATCAAATTACTGTGAACCCAATAACATATATTCAATAATTGAACCATTCATCAACCCAGTTCACTCAGTAAGGAATGCAATACAAAATCAAAGAACACTGAAAGCAAAACCAAAAACGAAAATAAAAAAATACAAAGAAGATGCCTAACCAGTATGAATCAATAGAAGACTAATTGAATTGAATGAAACTTGAAATTTTTTTGCCAAACCCAAGTAACAGTACAATGTGCATACATACACACCCAAATCATCAAATATATGATCAGATATTTGAAGCATCTATAGATTTTACAAGTGGAATCAAACATACCTCAAGAATCAATAACCAAACAAACAATTGAATCTCTTGAAGTTGGAAATTTGAACTGCTCGAACTGAGCGTTTTTCCAACAAAAGTCGAAACTGAGAGTTTTTCCAAAACCCTAGTTTGTTTGGTGTGTGGAATGTGCGTTGTACTTGTACCTGTTTGTTTGAGAAATTTCTCTGTTTTGTTGTTTGATACTATTCATTTATGTTTTTGTTAACTGTGTTTGATTTTATATGGTTCTTTGTCTATGCAATTAGACATTTGTGGGTAATTTGAGTGGGTGATTACTAGTCAATTGTTATTGAAAAAACAAATTACATAATGGTATCTTAACAGGTGTTTGTATGCATTTGAATTGATTTTTACTTCATTTCTCTTTTTTCTTCTCTCTTCTTTTCCCTTGATAAATCGAAGATCCGAATGTTAGCTAGATCATGGGTTTGGGTAGAAATTTAGAAAGAGAAGGTGGGTGAAATGTAGGTTAGATGTAATTATCCTTCATTCATATTTCACATATCTTTTTCTTTTTTCTTTCTAAATTTCTACCCAAATTCATATCCATGATACAAAATGAAATTCAGCTTGCTTGTTTTCATTTTTCAAAAAATACTTTTCAGAAAATTCTACTTATTTATTTTCCGTGTTTTTTTATTTTTACTGATTTTTTAAAAATATTTTAAGCAATTTTTTTTTTACCACTTTTTAGACACACCTAACATAAATACACCTAAAAAGTAAAAAAAATTGTAAAAAAAATCTTTTAAAAATTCACTAAATACCAAAAATACCAAAAAAATATAAGAATTCAATACATTTTTTGTATTTTTACGTATTTATTAATTTTTTAAAATATTTTTTCACAAATTTTTTACTTTTTAGATACATCTGACTAAGGTGCATCTAAAAAAATAAAAAAAATTGTTTAAAATTTAAAAAATATTCACTAAAAATAAAAGAATACGAAAATCAAAAAACTCAAATTTTAAAAAATTTAATCCAAAAAACTCAAACCAATCACACTGATTACTACTTCCCTGTTCGGAAACCACATGTCAAATTTCCAGCTAGTCCAATGACTTTGGAGGCATATCATTGACAATGAGCACCGTTTCATTGATTGGGAAAGGGATCTAGGGCTACCCAATGGTCATACTTCTAACCATTATCAAATATATTGTTTGTTTTTTAGAGAAAAAAAAATGAAAAGATTTTTTTTTAAAAATTCATTATTTTTATTCCAACAGGACTTTAAACACATTAGACAAACCCAACTCTACATATCGGACGGTTGAAAAAATAAGACAAAACAAAACAAAAATACAACCAAACAAGATAATTATCTTGATGCTTTCATAGTTTTTCACAAGCATCTAAAAAGATGTTGCAAAGGCCTTTTCCTTGACAGAAGATGGAGAAGAAAAGAAAATCTATGCTAAAGCATACAGTCATTAAATCACATGAAAATTTTGAGACACAAGAATCTCAAAACAATTCTACCATTTTAGGTGTTTTGCGGGTGCTAGCCGTACCAAAGTACCAAAAAAATTAAGCAACAAATATATGGTGATCAACAATCTATTCTCCTATTCTAAAACATACCGGCATTAGATCACGTCTGAAAAATAATTTAACAGTGTTAGGCCATGTTTGTTTGGACGGACTGGATTAGCATTCCCATGACTAATAGTCCTAAGACTACAAATCCGTTGGATTATGTATCCTATCTTAACTAATAGTTAAGTTTAAAATAATTAGTCCGTACTTCAATTGTTTAACCAAACATCGGATTAATAATTTTATTGGACTATTAGTCCAATCCCAAGATCATGTCTACCCAAACAAACATGACCTTAGTGTTTTGAGGTGGAAGAATAGATGATTACATTCCAAACATAACTTCTGTAATAAATACTCTAATGAAAAGGGTTTGAGAGCACACTAACAGATGAAAATGCACAAGCATAAGTAACAAAATGTCTAAAGCTCATAAAGCTCTCAAACAATGCTATTAATTAGAGCAAAAATATAACATTGCTATTACGTACATTCCCCATAACTAATGTTTGATGACATAAAGATCTATGGTATTTTGAAGCATAGTTATTGAAAGTTACAGCCCACTTCTTACGGAGGAGGAGCTGAGAGACCTGTTAGGATTTTAATTAAAAGGATAAACACAGAATAAGATATCAGACTTCTAAGATTGCTTCTTCTGCTTCTTCTTTGCTTGTAAAGATGAGGCCAAGGGCACTACTCTCTTCTTGGCAAATAGGTTCGTTCTGCTCTCTAAATTCTCCTCGTCATCATTGTCTTCTTCTTTACTATCATGTTTAAATTCCTCTCTACTTTTGGCAGCTTTTCTTTTTCCAACATCTAATTTAGCATGCAATTTCCTTTCCACAGGATCATTTAAAGGCCCAACAACCTTGGATTGCCGTGGAACTGTTGCACCTAATCCAAGCCTGTACAGATGTATGAACAAATTAAACAAAATTGCTTTGATTTGCACAATTACAACAATGTACACAAGCATACAGACCTAGCAGGTCGAGCCTCTAATTGTACTTCCGTTGATTTGTCTTCCGTGGATTTAGTCATATTATTAACCCATTTTTCAGCCTGCATATAAGCATTATATAAAGTTTATCAGCACGAGCAATGGAAGATGATGACAAAACAAAGTATCTACCAAACCTCGAAAATAACTCATATCAAACTAATTGCCACACAATTATGAAGAACTGGGAGCAAAATAATGAAGTGCATGAAGAAGGAACCAATGATGAAGCCAATTTATCTTTGTATGAAGAAGAAAGTCTAAACTTCACGGATCCAATTATAAATAAAAACAAGCAAACATTTAAACTGGAGTTTTTTCCCCAAACCCATGTTTTTTTGGGACATATTTACCAAACCAAATCATCATAAACATATTTACAAAATGCAAGTTGTTTTGTGAAGTCGTGAGTTAAAAACCCAACTTGAAGTCCGAAGTTGTGTTTTCAAAACACAACCTCAATTAATTTATCGTAAAACTCATCAGAGTTTAGTTTTTAAATGCTTAAAGTTGTATGCAGTTGTGTACAAAACAACTTGGGTTTGGTAAATAATTTCAGAACCACAAAACTTTCAAAATAACTTGGACTTAAAAAATAACTCATTCAAAATAGTCTTCACCTAAATATTTCCATGCTGTAGTAGAAAGTGTATCGTCTCATCTTAGACAATATGTAAAGTAATGAGACATGTTTCAACCTTCCAAGGTATTAGCATTTTCTGGTAATGCTGCACACACAGGTGCATGCACAAGAAGCAATAGAAATAATTTGATTCTGAATGTTTAAACCAAAAACAGTAGTTACCAATTTCAGTGCCTTGTCTAACTTCACCAGTTGAGGGCGAGAGGTCTTTTTGGCCGACTCCTCCATGCTCATCTCAACTTCTTTGCCAGCTTAAACATTAACAGAACATATAATCAAACCAAGAAAAATAAAAATCATAAAGCAAAACAACATGAAAATAAATAAATAAATAAATAAGTGTTTATAAAACAGTGTTATCTCTATCAAACATGTCATATCTGTTTTCTATATCTCAAAACAGGTTTGCACAAGATGATGCCACTGTTTTGTTCAAGAATATAAAAACAATTAACTTGCATATGCAAACATACATGTATCAAAACAGGTTTGCACAAGATGATGACACTGTTTTGTTCAACAATAGAAAAACATTAACTTGCATATGCAAACATACATGTATAAAGGAAATAGATACAACGGACACAAAACAAAGAGCACATGAGCATTGGTAAGGGCATCTCTAGCCCCTACCATTTACCGATATAAAATTCAAATTTGAGTAAAAAAAACTTCCTAAACCCTTGCCACTCCTTTACTCAAACTAAAATGTTTACTCAAAATTTTGAAGGCTCTTTTGTGGCTTTTAAAAAAATCTACCACTCTGTCATTTTTTTATTTTATTTTTGATAAATAAATAAATTTTATAAAACAAAGAGCATCAAGGAGATGCAAAAGAATACAAAGAACTAGCCAATCACATCATCTAAAAAGTCTACAAAAGTAATCAAATCTAGATCCACCTGCCCAGATACCCAACCACACAAAACTCAAAGAAACCTATTCTCTAACCATGACGAACACCGAGCCACCCCTTGGAAAATGTGACAATTCCGCTCCAACCAAAGCAACCACATTAAACACAGGGGAGCCAACATGTCCAAGCCTTTCGACACCTCTTCCCAACCTGGCCCCCTCCCTAACTCCAAAGAACCTCCACCACCCCTTCTCCTAAACCTATACCACACCAAAGGGAGAAAAAATCAGCGTCCACAACCGGCAAGCCATCGAACACTGAATTAACAAATGATCCACCAATTCCACATCCACACAACACATACAACACCAATTTACCAAAACAAGACCACGTCGAACTAAATTATCAATAGTAAGAATCCTGCAACAAGCCGCTGTCTGTCCAAAAAAAACCACCTTAGAAGAAACACCTGCAACACAAACCCGTCGCCAAGGAAGCTCCCCTTCCATATCATCACACAAAACTCGATAAAAAGATGATACTAAGAAAACACCTTTAGAACCCACCCCCACCCCCCTACCTAAAACCAGAACATCCTCTCCCCCTCCCCCTCCTACATGCACCCCATAAAGAAAGGTCATTAAGTCCAATAATTGGCCCACCACCAATCATGAACTTGCTTGTAGAGAACCGTTTACTCAAATTTATGTTTTAATATGAGTTTGTCCATCGGAGTGCATCATTCATTCCTATATTACCCTTCCGTAATTCCCAACACAAATTTTATAGCATCTCTTTTTAACAAGCACGCCCATGAGTAAAGTTTGGAGATGGCTTAAGCATCTCCAATCCTTATCCTTTACTCATACCAAATTTAAATTTGAGGAAAAATCTTCAAAATCTCTCTCCACTCCATTAAACTCATACCAAAATGAGTTTTACTCGAACAAAGGGAGAATTTATTTTTACTCTAATTCCGACAAGCTATTTGTGGTCATAACTTCTAAATTTACAATTGTACAACTTAACAAACTTCTACTCGAATTTGAGTTTGTCTATTTGAGTACTCTATATCAAATGAAGTTTTTACTCAAATCAAAGTAAAAATATTTGTTAACCATCTTAGAACATCTTCAATCATTCCCCAATTCTTTCATCAAATTAAAATTGGATGAATAAAGAGCTAAAAATCCAATCATTTCATCAAGCTTGTATCAAATCAAGGGAGAGGAATTTCCAAAGGATGAATCAAATCTATTGCCAAATTTTCAACATTCATAATTTTACTCAAATTTGATGAAATTTCAAAAAAGTTGGGATTTAAAACGATTTTCTTTTATCAAAAATGGTTAAACAAGTTTTTATAATGAGTGAAATCATCAAAAATGGTTAAACAAGTTTTTATGATACGTTTGGAATTTTTCAAAAAGATTATTAAAACAAAAAAGAAAAATTACGACAAAAAAAAACCCATGGTTTGACCCTTCTAACAAAATAAACCCTGAACTTTTTATTTTGTCAATTTAAACTCTAATATTTTGATTTGTTTTCAATATAAACCACATGCCTATTTTCATTAAGTAAAACCAATGGGAAAAAATGATATTTTGGACATTTTATGTACACCTACCCTTTTATTGTAACGAAAATAAGCGAATTGTTTAGATTGAAAACAAATCAAAATATTAGGGTTTAAATTGACAAAACTAAAAAATCAAGATATATTTTGTTACAATCAAACCATGGGTTTTGTTTTTAATTTCCCCTGAAAATAAAAATAAAAAGAGTAAGGATTCGATCAAGTTTTTAACCAAATTTTCACTCAAATTTGAATTTGGTATGAGTAAAGGATAAGGATAGGAGATGCTTAAGCCATCTCCAAACTTTACTCAATCATGTATATTCATGGGTGTGCTTGTTAAAAAGAGATGCTATAAAATTTGTGTTGGGAATTACAGAAGGGTAATGTAGGAATGAATGAAGCACTCCGATGGACAAACTCATATTAAAGCATAAATTTGAGTAAAAGCTTCTCTACTGGCAAGTTCATGATTAGAGGTGGGCCAATTATTGGACTTAATGACCTTTCTTTATGGGGTGCATGTAGGAGGGGGAGGGGGAGGGGATGTTCTGGTTTTCTAGGTGGAGGGGTGGGGGTGGGTTCTAAAGGTGTTTTCTCGGTATTATCTTTTTATCGAGTTTTGTGTGATGATAGAGAAGGGGAGTTTCCTTGGCGACGGGTTTGGGTTGTAGGTGTTCCTTCTAAGGTGCCTTTTTTAGTACAGACAGCCGATTGTTGTAGGATTCTTACTATTGATAATTTGGTTTGACGTGGTCTTGTTTTGGTGAATTGGTGTTGTATGTATTGTGTAGATGTGGAATTGGTGGATCATTTGTTAATTCAGTGTTCGGTGGCTTGCCGGTTGTGGACGCTGATTTTTTCTACCTTTGGTGTGGTATAGGTTTAGGAGAAAGGGGTGGTGGAGGTTCTTTGGAGTTGGGGAGGGGGGCAGGTTGGGAAGAGGCGTCGGAATTTAAACGTTGAAGCCCAAAACAAACACAACCGAACTCTCAAACTTATTTTAATAAGAGCCAGACTCAAAATTTTATTGAAAGTATTACTGAAGTACTTATCAAAAAAAAAGGAACCAAACTACGAAAGAAATATATTAGATCGTTAGAGGATGCATGGCCGAACAGTTTTCAGTGGCTTATGTACTAGTAGAATTTAAACTTTAAGTCGAAATTGAATCCACCAGGAGTATGCAACACTGTTTATTGACTGAAGCAACATAAACCCATCAACAAAAAATTTGAAGTGATATGATTTCCCCTCAAAACCAAGCCATCCAGTTACTTAAAAACAGTTCAACATAAGCTGAAACCTCATTTTAATTCAAACAATGGCACACATATATTTTGAAGTAGATGCTTTCGGGATGACATCAAATGGCATGTTCAATACAGTTGTAACTCGCCACCATTAACATTACAATATTTAAGTTAAGCTGACAATTTTTTTTTATTTTTTTTGATAAGTAAAGAATAAATATATATCACTGGGGATGCCAAAGGTGACAAAATTCTAAATTTGCAGACGGTGGATGTAGCCAGTACCAGAAATTCATCAAATTACTGTGAACCCAATAACAGAATTTCAATAATTGAACCATTCCCTTGGAGAAAACTGGGCAAGTAAGTTAAATTAGTTCAACACCAACTCGAACCTCACCAACCCAGTTCACTCACTAACAAATGCAATAAAAAAAAATCAAAGCACACTAAAAAAACATACAACTAAATTCACAAAGAAGATGACTAACTAGTATGAATCAATTGAAGACGCCCTCAACACCACCACTTGCCGAAATTGCATTAAGCTTAGAATTTTATTGCCGAATCAGAGTAACAATACAATATGCATACACACCCAAATCGTCAAATCTCGTGCAAAGATGATCAGAAATTGGAAGCATCAATCGATTTTATAAGTGAAACCAAACACATACCTCAAAAATCGATAACCAAACAAATAATTTGAAGAGTCTACAAGTCTCCGAATGGCTCGAACTGAGATTATTTTATTTTATTTTATTTTATTTTTTCTAGCAGAAGTTGAAACTAGGGTTTTGGAAAAGAAAGAAAACAATAATAAAAAGGATAAATTACACTAACCCTTTTTTAGTGTAATTATTACCGTGTTAATTTTTAAGTTACGATGACATATTTATTTATAATTTTTATATCAACAATAATTCATCCCCTTTTTCGCCCACTCCCTTTGACCCCCTCTCTCTCCCATTGATTACATTTTCTTTTTTTTTTCTTTTTTTTCCTACTCCTCCAATCACCACCCGCCACATGGCAAAGGGAGGTGAGGGGGTGACCCCCAAAAGGGGGTCCCAAGCATTATTCTTTTTATATATGCTTTAAAGGGTTAATTATATTGACACTTTTGAGGTTTCAATTTAATACGGATCCTCTCGACTTTTAAAAAAAAAACTAATTTAATAAAAATAAATATGAAAAAATATATTTAATTTGTAAAAAATTATTTTTAACCACTCGAAAGATAAAAATTATATAAAACTAATAATTATTTTTTTATTTCTTAACCAAATTAATTTTTAATTTTTTTTAAAAAAATCTAAAAATTAAACCATACATAGCCTAAGGATTTTTTGATAAGTTATTTTTTACGTTGGTAACTTATTTAATTATTTGTTAATTTTACGACATTTTTACCTTCTGAGACCTGTTTGATAACAATTTCGTTTTTAGTTTTCAATTTATATTTACAAAAATTTTAAAAACTGTCATAAAAACTTGTTTGATAATTTTTTTAATTTATAAATGGTTGTCTCAATTTGTGAATTTGAAGAAAAACGTAAATTCAAAAAAATGAGTTTACGTTTGACTAACAAAAAAAAAAATTCAATTAATTTTTTTTTCAAATGATTTTTTTTCCAATTAATTTTTCTTTTCAATGGATTTTTTTTGTCAACTAATACTAACTGATGGGTCAATTGGTAATACTACTTTAAACCTTGGGGAGGAGATTGTAATTTCTAAAATATGAGGGCTGTCAATGTAGTTTATCCAATGAGGGCAAAATTAGTATTTAAAAAAATTAAATTGCTGACATCAACAAAATCTGTTAGTTGACTTAACAGTCAACTAACTGAGGGAGTAATCTGTAATGAAATTTAAACCTCATAGAGGGAGATGTAATTTCCAAAATGTGAGGGGGGAATTGTAATAAACATAAATCTCAGGGGGTGTCAATATAATTTATCCTAAAAGATGAAAAAAAGTGGGAGCTTAAAGTATTGAGGGAAAACGAGACAAGTTGGAGATTTGAATAGAAATTATGTCGGGTTTGGAAGAGATTAGGGATTGAAGAAAATAGATGGAGCAAATCGTGTACAGAAAGATATGTAGATGTAGAGAGAGAAAGTTGGGAGCTTTGACTCCTTTGCTGATGATGACGATGATGGAAAGCCTCTGCGGCTGGAGAAATAAAGGGAGATGAGGGATGTAGTAATGGCTCTGCCCGGCCCGGCTCATCCGGGTCCAGATCTGTGCTCGGGTCGGGCCAAACGAGTCTCGTGGGTTTCTTTCTTTTTAGCAGGTCGGGTCATGGGCTAAAAAGTGGGGTCCAAACCCACTTATAATAGGGCCTAGGGCCAGTCTTAGGGCTTGGGCTCGGGTCGCGGCCCGGGCCTAGTCAAGTCTTTTTTATTTTTTTGAAAAATAAACGATAAATACATTATTTATGTAGATTATTTATTAGGAATAAAAAAAAATTATACTAGAATATTTTGTTAATATTAATGAGATGCTTTGTTTAGTTATGTTTCATGGTGATATTTAAATTTAATTATATATGACTTATATTTTTTTTTTAATTATGAACTTAACTAAAAAAATATACAATTATGTAATTTTTTCTTTCGAAATGAATAATTTTATATATATATAATTAAACTTTTAATATTACAATATTAAATTAATTATATAACATTTATTGAATGAATAATTTTTATTTCAAAATGAAATAAAATATTACAAAAATTTATATTATAAAATCAAATAGATGTAGATTATTGATGATGGTAAAGCAATTGTATCACTATAGATCAAGTACATCCCAACTAGGTTGGCATCTACTAGTTTACCAATCATTTGCGTTATATTCCACCTCAATAATCTAATACAAAAAAAAAAGAGAAATAAAATAGTAAAAAATAAATTGTCGATCAATCATCGGAGGAGATAGACATTTCAGTCGCGTTGCTCGAAGATATGTCATCCAAATCATTTTAAATACGCTCATTTTCACTATAATTTTGTCTTCTTGTAAGCGCATGCATCAGTGCCTCAACCATTTGGGATGAAAACCTACTCCGGTAATCGCTCAGCACCCACCTGCACTAAAAGCTGTTTCCGAAGCAAATGTAGAAATATTTTTTTAAAATGTTTCCAAACACTACTACTTCTACCCTTAGATGATGATCCAACTATTGGAAGATAGATATTAGAAAGAGAATCAACAAATTCATGTTGTGTAGTATATGTATCAACATTGACATAAACATTAAGCATATTAAGATTCATAGTAATGTAAGTAAAACAATATATAAGAATTAACAATTAATTTAAATAATGTGTAAATACAATGAACAAAAAATAATAATTAATATAGGGAGCTTTTTTGATAAATCCATTTTCTAATAGCTTTATCCCATCCAACCCATATGTTTTTTGACTATTCCATTAGGTCCAATTTGAGATAAGAAGACCAAAATACCCTTTTGATTTACTTATGTTCCATTAGTTCACATTATTTTCTTATATTTCAATAAGTCCAATGGGTGACATAATTACCAAAATACCCCTAATGTGAATGTTCACATCGTCAATGTGAATGTTCATATCGTCAATGTGTAGAGGCCCGGCCAATGTCGATCCTCGTGGGTGCTCGGAAAAATTCGAGTCGGGCCGGACCGGTCCACAGGCCAAAAAAATAGGCCCGGCCTGGCCCGGCCCGTTGATAATGTGAATATTCACATTGACAAGTTAACATTCACATTGATAGGAGTGTAAAATTGGCCCGCGGCCCGTGGGCGGCCCGAAGCCAGCTCGCCGCCCGGGGCGGGCCCAAGCCGGCCCGTTCATAATGTGAATATTCACATTAACATATTAACATTAACATTGATAAGAGTGTAAAATTAGCCCGTAACCCGTAGGCAGCCCGAAGCCCGGCCCCGAGCCCGTTGACAATGTGAATATTCACATTGACATGTTAACATTCACATTGATAGGAGTGTAAAATTAGCCCGAGGCCTGTGGCTGGCCCGAAACCCGCCCGCGGCTCGTGGGCTGCCCTGGGCGAGCCCGGCCCGACCCGTTGATAATGTGAATATTCATATTGACATGTTAACATTCACATTGATAAGAGTATAAAATTAGTCCGCGCCCCGTGGCTGCCCGAAACCAACCCACAGCCTATGGGCGGCCCGGGGCGAGCCCGGCCTGGCCTATTGACAATGTGAATATTCACATTGACATGTTAACATTCACATTGATAAGAGTGTAAAATTGACTCGTATCTCATGGGCAGCCCGAAGCCCGTGGGCAGCCCGGGGCGAGCCCGGCACTACCCGTTAACAATATGAATATGCACATTGACATATTAACATTCACATTGATAGGAGTGTAAAATTGGCCCGTGGCCCGTGGGCGGCCCGAAGCCCGCTCGCTGCCCAGGGCGGGCCCGGCCCAGCCCGTTGACAATGTGAATATTCACATTGACATATTAACATTAACATTGATAACATTGATAAGAGTATAAAATTAGTAAGCGCCCCGTGGCTGCCCGAAACCAACCCACAGCCCATAGGCGGCCCGGGCGCGAGCCCGGCCCGGCCTGTTGGCAATGTGAATATTCACATTGACATGTTAATATTCACATTGATAAGAGTGTAAAATTGACTCGCGTCCCATGGGCGGCCCGAGTTTGGGTCCGGGCCTACCCTAGGCCGCGGGCGAGCTTCGGGCAGCGGACAAATTTTACAATCCTATCAATGTTAATGTTAACATGTCAATGTGAATATTTATATTGTCACGGGTCGGGCCAAGCCCGCCTCGGGTTGCGATCTGGCTTCGGGCCGCCCACGGGCTGCGGGTCAATTTTACACTCCTATCAATGTGAATGTTAACATGTTAATGTGAATATTCACATTGCCAACGGGCCGGGCCCGCCCGGCCCGAGGTCGGGCTTCCGGCTGCCTACGGGTCACGGGCCAATTTTACACTCTTATCAATGTAAATATTCACATTGTCAACAGCCCGGGCCCGTCCCAGGCCGCCCATGAGCCGTGGGCGAGTTTCGGGCAACCACGGGGCGCGGGATAATTTTACACTCCTATCAATGTGAATGTTAACATGTTAATGTGAATATTCACATTGTCACGGGTCGGGCCAAGCCCGCCTCAGGCTTCGGTCGAGCTTCGGGCCGCCCACGGGCTGCGGGCCAAATTTACACTTTTATCAATGTGAATGTTAACATGTCAATGTGAATATTCACATTGTCAACGGGTCGGATCGGGCCCGCCTCGGGTTGCCCATAGGCCGTGGGCGGGTTTCACGCCGTCACGGGACGGGGGCCAATTTTACACTCCTATTAATGTGAATGTTAACATGTCAATGTGAATATTCACATTGTCAATGGGCCGGGCCAGGTCGGGCTCGCCCTGGGCTGTTGGCCAATTTTATACTCTTATCAATGTGAATGTTAACATGTCAATGTGAATATTCACATTGTCAACAGGCCGGGCCGGGCCCGCCCCGGGCCGCCCACGAGTCGTGGGCTGGTTTCGGGCAGCCACGAGGCACGGGCTAATTTTACACTCCTATCAATGTGAATGTTAACATGTCAATGTGAATATTCACATCGTCAACGGGCCGGGCCGGGCCGCGGGCGGGCTTTTGGCCGCCCATGGGCCGT